AGAAACTGAGGACACACAAGCATAGTATGTTCTTACATAGATGAATATGAATGTATATGTGTATATATATGTATGATTATAGATATCCATGTATATGTATGTAAGTGTATGTGTGTATATGTATATATTGTGTATACGTGTGTATACATATATACATGTATGTATGTATAGCCACACTTAATTGCAACCTTGGGAGGGGAGGGAAGGAAGGGGGGAAAGACCAAGGTAAAAAGGGCACAGCACTTACTAGCTGTATGACCCTGGGCAAGTCACTTAACCCCGATTATCTCACCAAAAAGCAAAAATAAATAAATAAATAGATAGATAAATAAATAAATAAAAATTTTAAAGTGCACAGAAGAGAACAAAAGAAAACCTACAAGGAAGCAAAGAAAAGATGGACATCTTTGAATACAATGTGTATTTATTATATAGACTTTCTTGAAATGGAAATTTATTGCTTTTTATTTTGAATCCTCTCTTATGATCTGCTGTGCACATGGCAGTCTTTTTTCTATTCTTATTTTGTATTTAATTTTTTGTATTTAAGTTTAAAATGTTTCTTTTTATTTTCTTATCTTGTATTTAAGTTTTAGTATTTAAGTTTAACATTTTTTTAAAATCTAAAATAAAAAAAGACCCAGGGAAAATATCATCTTCTATAAGAATCCTTTTCCCTATACCCCTTAATGTTGGTGCCTTCCCTCTGTTGATTATCTCTTATTTATTCTGTATATATCTCAGTTGTACATAGTTGTTGGCATGTTTTCTCCCCAATTAGACTATGAACTCCTTGAGATCAGGGATTATCTTTTACTTTCCTTTGTATCCCCAGTACTTGGCAGAATGCCCAGCACATTGTAGGTACTTTAAAAATGTTTATTGGCTAAGTGAGTGATTTGACATCAATCTAAGATACAAGGGCCAGACTTCCTCATGAACAAGAGATTGGTGCAAGGCGCCTTTCTCTGTTAAATGCCAGGCTGCTGGAGTTCACGTCAGAAAACCATGCTTACAAACACTCTCAGAAATAATAAAGTTAGTGTACTTTCTATGTTTGAGAAGAAAAGGTCCAATTCAAAACATTTTTTCGAGAGTAAGGAATACAGTCTCTAAACATGGCAGAACAAGTAATCTCCTTCCATTGGTGACTATGGGGAGGTCAACTAACCTCTCTGAGCATCTGTTTCTTCCTTTGAAAAATGAGCTTTGGGGCAGCTAGGTGGTGCAATGAATAGAGCACCGGCCCTGAAGTCAGGAGGACCTGATTTCAAATCTGACCTCTGACCAAACACTTGACACTTACTAGCTGTGTGACCCTGGGCAAATCACTTAACCCCAATTGCCTAAAAAAGCAAAACCAAAAAAAAAATGAGTTTTATAATAACCATAGGACTTATCTTACAGGGTTGTGGTGAAGCTCAAATGACAGCATGTATTTATATCACTACGTAAAATCAGTTATATTTATTATTAACAGTTTCAGTAACGGAAACATAAAAGCAATTTTTAGAACTAAATCCTTTAAATTACAAAGAAAGAGAATTAAGATATGATCCTCCAGAATCTTCAAGTGTGGTCTGTGACAGATGGAAACTCCAAGAGACATAATTTCTATGTAATTAATAATCCATTTATTAATTATGTCTAGCAAGTAATTAATAGATTGATGGTCATTGGCTTTCTCTCATAAACCAAAGACCAACCTTGAGGAACATTGAATTCTTTAAAAGTCTTTGGGAAAAGGGATGTATCTGAGGGTGGAAATCAACTCTGATTGGCTAAAGTGGGTGGACAAGGAGCTGGGCTAAAAGCCTTAAACTCCTGCTAAGGAGAAGATGAGGCTCAGCTGCCTCATCCTATCTGAACAAAGGCATCCATCTCTAGTCAGTCTGTGAACAGTGAACAATGGTGGGGGAAGAATTCCACCTAGATAAGATTCTCTTTGTAATGTCTAGTTGAGTGAGGTCCCACCCAATATCAAAAGCAAGTACTCCAAGGATTTGGGCAATTTCATCCATCAGCAATGTCCTTCAGAGACCAACTGAATAACCTACAAGGGTTGGTTTCTGAATGAGGAAATAGGAAGAGAAAAACTTAAAATTAATTTAATAATTGATTATTAATATAAGAGAAAAATAATCATTTCTCTCAGGTCCTAGCCTTTACCTTGATTGTCCTGCAAAAAACAAATAAATGAATGAATGGGTGAATGAATAAAATATAGTTGTGAAAATGTTTGGATTCATCAAAACATGAAATTCAGGCAATTCAGGGGGCATAATTATTTTGAGAGGAAGTCACAAAGCATCAGCCTACAATCAGGAGACCTGGCATCTAGTCTCATCTACTGCTTGACCTTGGGAAAGTTGATTTACCTTAATTTTTTTCATCTGTAAAACAAATGATCTATGACATCCAAACTCTAATATTCTGTGATTCTATAAGCTGAATAAACATTAGTGCAAAGCAAGGACATAAAAATGCCTCTTTATTCTGTGTTGTGTTCTGGTTTTATCGACACACAAATTTTCATTAAATTCCTAGCAGAATAGGATTGTCTGGGGCTTTTCTGTTGGTTTCTCCAAGTCGAAGGATTTAGCTTAGTCGACAGCATGCTAAATAACTTAGGGCTATAGATATAAAAATGGAATTGGTGAAGGTAAGGGAATATATGTACAGCCCTTACCTAGCCCAGTGCCTGGTATATTATAGGTATTTAATAAATGCTTGTTGATAGATTGACAGTATATTTATGTAGATAACAAACTTATAAAACTAACAATGGTCAGTGTAATACTGAATAGATCTATTGCCCATTTACAGAGCTTAAGGCTATAAACTTGCAGGTAAGAATTATGTGGGAGACATGAGAAGGACTGCTCAGGAATAAGAAATATCAGGAAAGAGATTAAGAATCGAGTCCGACAAAGGGCACAAAGGGTGGTGGTCAGCATGGGGAAGTTGTCATTACTCTGCTCTGAGTCCTCAAGTGTTCCTGCCAGGTGTCAATGATATTTCTGTGTGTGTAAAGTTGCCTGGCATCTCATTGTGCCACACTCCCTATTCAGATGACTAGCTAGGTTGTCTGCTAATCCAGAAGTCATCTTTCCCTAAGATTCTTTTCTATGCATATACAGCAGTATATTGATTCTGTTATATGAATATATACTGAAGAAAGCAACAAACTATTTCTCACTCCAAAGTATGAAGTTGTAATAGTAATAATAATAATTAGCCAACATTTCTGATTTATATTCTTACAGAATCATAGATTTAGAGCTGGAAAGGACCTAAGAAACTATCTCCAGCACACTCATTTTCAAATGAGTAAACTGAGGTCCATAGATTAAATGGTTTGCCCAACACACACCTTTAGATGGGGAATATTTTTTACTGTTTTATTTTGTCCCTTCTCCAGCCATCTAACATTTTCCCCCCACTATCCCATCCCCAGATACTTTTAAAGCCAAATGTAAGACTGTGGAAGGAATTGTTAAAGTTAGGCATTTGTTAATCAGGGCAGCTAGGTGGTGCAGCAGATAGAGCACAGGCTTGAGTCAGGAAGACCTGAGTTCAAATCTAGTCTTTGATACTTAGTATGTGACTCTAATTCAGCTCCTCACCCATGAAATGAGCTGGAGAAGGAAATGGCAAAGCACTTCAGTATCTTTGTTAAGAAAACCTCAAATGGACTCATGAAGAGATAGATATGACTGAAACAACCAAACAACAAAATTTTGTCAATCAACCTCCACTGCACTCTGCCAAATCAGGCCTATGGAATAAGAAGCTTACTATAGACCTAAGGAATCCTTTGAACTCAAGCTATAAATTTATATTCTGTTATCTCAATCATTTGTTATCCACGACAGTTACAATTACTACTTCCACCAACAATGTGATTTGTACAATAGTGCAAATGCATTTGTGCACTGGTTATATTTTCAGGGATTTCTGCAATGCAGATACTTAGAACTTAATTTTACTAAGCCAGCATTTAACACAAAACCTGGCACATAGTAGACAATTTGATAAATGCTAGTTGGCTGAATGACAGACTCTTTCCATAGCCACAATGCTCTCCCTAAAGGGTTTAAGATGAAAAATAAATTGACCATTGAGGGGTTTTTTGGTATGGATTTGAAAATAGAAAGAATTATGACAATAAATAACTAGTTATTTATAGTATTACATGGTATTTCAATTGCACTTTGCAACAACCTTGCGAGGAAAGTGATGTTATCCCCATTTTACAGATGAGGAAACTGAACCTCAATGAGATTAAGTGACTTACTTAGTATTACACAGCTAGGAAAAGCCTGAGACAAAAATTGAATTTAGGTCTTCCTGACTTCAAATCCAGAGCTCTAACCACCTGAAATCCTAGGACAATAGTTTTAGAGCTGGAAGGGACCTCAAAAGCCATCTAATCTAAGCCCTTTCTTTTATAGCTGAGGAAACCTGAAGCCCGGAGAGGATAGTGATGTGATCAATTTCATAAGTAGTAAGAGATAGAATCAGGTTTGGAACCCGGGTCCTCTGATTCCAAAGGCAACACATTTCAACAGTAACACTGTGCCTCTGAAGTTGGGGTTGGAATCCTTGCTTTCCCACTTAAGGTGACCTCAGGATAGTCTCTTTACCACTCTAAATGACAATCTCCTCAGCCATAAATTGGGGATAATAATTCTTGTATGGTCTATTTTCTCAGGATAGCTGTAAGGATATTGTTGTGCAAATCATAAAGCATAAAAGTACAATATAACTTGGAGCTGTTGTTGCTATTATGCCTTCTTGCCCCCAAATTTGCCCTCCGAGTAACTTAATTGCTCTGATTCTTCTAAGGGTGACATTGAAGGGTGAGGTACTGTTACTCCTTCTACACAAAGACCAGACCTAAAATTTTATCTGTCTTATCCTTTTAATGAGCACTACAGAGATTAATGAACTTTCAGTTGGGTTGAATTCAACATTTTAATAAAATAATTTGATTTTAGGGTGAAAGAGAGCTCCCAGGACCTAAAGGACAGGCTGGCGCTAAAGGGGAAAAGGTATGTGTGTGTGGAGCTGGTGTTGAAAAATGAAGTTGCTTTGAGTTTATTGCCTTGAGCTTTTTAAAATATCAATTTAATGAACTGCATCCAAATTCATAATTCCTTCTCTCCTCTCTCCTCCTTCCTCTCCCTCTCTCTACATAGGGTGTCATACCCTTACTTGCTAGTCCTCTGCCCAAAGGAAAGTAAATTTTGATCACTGAAATCTCACTTTCTTAAGGACCACGCTTTAAACTCAAATCACTCTGGCTCTCACTGATTAGCCAACAATAGATCCTAGCCCAAGCTAAGCCTATTGTTGGGACCCAGGTTGTTCAGAGTGAATGTATATAGTAATTGTTTCTGTTTTGGCCGGAAACCCTGAGGGTCTTTTTTTTTTTTTTTCTGACTAGGTAAAAGAGGCTGTTCTTTGTCTCCTTTCTTACCTAACCTTAATCACTGAATGTGTATTGCCTAAGTCAAACTGAGACCTGGGAAAGACTATAGCTTAAAAAGACCAAGGTCTCCCGCTGCATCAGGGCCATCTCCAGTCTTGCTGATCTATTATCTTGCCACTGGACTCAGATGGCTCCTAGAGGAAAAAGTGAGACTGGCGACTTTGAACTGCCCTCCCTCACTTAAATCCAATTTACTTGCAATTCATGGCATCACCTTCCTGATGTCATGGTCCTCTTTTGAGAATGAAGGACAAACAACAACAAATAAAACAAAAAAGAAACAGGATGATGACATCTCTGTGCAATTAAATTAGAACCACTCACTGAAAACAGTTGTTAGGAGAGCTTCTGGGGTGAGTTTCTGGGAAGAGGACTTGATCAGTTTCTCCTACCCATTTTGATTCCTATAGTTGGTGCTAAATACCTCTCCAAATGAGAGATTTATGTTATAATTTAGTGTTTGCCCTGGAAAGGAAAACGGGAGCAACAAACCCCACATGGGACTTACATGCCCAAACAAAAAAAAACATATTAAAAGGTATTCCTTAATATCGGCAGGAAAAGGTGAAATTAAAGTGCTATAGACCTTCATAACTGCACTTACATGGGGGTGGATGATCCAGCAGCACCCTCAAGATGGCTTCCCAGCTTTCCCTTTTGTATAGGAGAAGTCACAACTCTGTGATGTGTTAGAGATATTTCCCCACTTTTCAGTGGTTTCTGGTTCATCTGGTTGAGAATGGTGATTGGTGGGGAGTGAGGTACTATCTATCTCCTCTGCTTTCAGACCTACACTTTGGGAGCTCTGAGCACAGCAACTGGTTGAGTGAAATGAGAGAGTATGAGATTGGAATGTTTCCTCATTTCCTAAAAGTCAGATAATAAGGGGCATGTGGAGGACCTCTTCTATGATTCTAGGTGCTATGTTAAGGCCCAGATACCTATGAAGGTAAAATTGGAGAAACAGAAGGCCACCTCAGCTGATTTCTGGGGTAAAAGCAGAAGAAAGCAAGAAGCAATTAAAATTACAGGACAACCAAGTATTATGAGCAGAAGGGCCTTCCCAGGAGTACTGCCTCTTAAATTGTCTGGTCAGTGCCTGGAGACCATTCTCGGGTGGTTGTCTTAAATGAGGATCAAAGGAGGAAATAGAAATAAACTTCTAATATACTAAAATCCCAACAAGGGAGGGGTGGGGGGAGAAAGGCCTCAGTGATCAATATGGCAGTATAGAAATGGGTGTATGCATATGTTTTCTTACAAGCAATATCATTTTGTTTACATTCTCCAGTGAGGAAAGATAATACTTGCAGTTACAAAATTCTAAGAAACAAACATACCCTTATACACATAATTAGAAGGGTCATGAAAACCACAAACCAGACACTATGAAATGAATCTAAGCAGTCATAATTAATGGGCCCAAAAAAAGCCACCCCAAAAGTAAAACCAACAAGGTGAAATTGAACAGGCAAAAATTTAAAGTCCAGCATTTAGGTTCAAATCATCAATTGTGCATGTACAGGATGGAGGAGTCCTTTCTTTACAACAAAGGCCTATAAGCTTGTGTCTTGTAGAACTTTAGTGAGTCCCCAGCACACAAACTAGTTTTGTCAAAAGTTCATTTGTAAGTAGGGATTTTATTTCTGTGGAGAAAAATATGTTCCGGATCCTAAAGATTGAAGTAGTGAATATATTACGCGATTATCTCACCAAAACCTACTTAACTTATAATGTGGCTGAGCATATTGAACTAGTCTTAGCCTGACTTCAGCATGCTGGTGTCAGAGAGCAAGGAAGAGGAATGATTCTAATATAACTAGATTTTCAGATAGTCTTTGTCAAGGTTTCACCCTAAAAAAGCAGAAAAAAGAGTAGAGCTTTTTTTTTCACTTTCTCTGGTAAATAGCTATTTAGCCAAATAAATAAATAGTAAATAAATAAGTAAATAGCCCTGGCCAAAATTCTTAAATGAATGAAGTTGGTCATTGTTATTTTTTTGACCTCCCTGTCTGCTCTTGCTTGTTAACACAAAAGAATCCCTAACTGGTAGGAATCCAAGAAATATAACAAAGCAATGTGGAGAGAAAAAAAAAGTAAAGTTATGTGGGGCAAGAGTTAGGAAGTTAAGGGAGCACCATGAAAGCAGCTCTCAGACCATATTATCTCTTATGAGCAGTCCTAAAGTATTCTGGGATAATGGTTTTTATCTGTTTTCTTTTCTCTGCTCTTTTCAAATAAGTATTTGGAAGAATTAGTGATGATGAGGGTCGGTTCCAGGTTTGAGGGAAGGCAGTCAGTAGGCAGAATTGACAAAACTTAGGAGAGATTCTTGCCTGAGGATCTGTAATACCTGAACACTAGTCCCTTTTTGAAGATGGAGTATCTAACTGAAAGACTGGGAAAATGGAAGAAGTCTAAACTCTGTTGACTTTCCTTCCCTTTAGGGTGATCCTGGTGAAGGACAACCAGGTCTTCCTGGGTTTCCAGGTTCCCCTGGACCATCTGGGCCTCCTGGAACATTGGTGAGGTTCTTATCTGTGCTGTATTCTGCAGTAATTATTGTGAAAATAAAAAATGGGAAGAATGAAGAGTTTCTTGATCAACTCCATGTATCTGCCTGTAAGACTAACTACAGGGGCAGCTAGGTGATGCAGTGGTTTGAGCACTGGCCCTGGAGTTAGGAGGACCTAAGTTCAAATCCTCCCTGAGGTACATAAATCTCACTAGCTATGTGACTTTGGGCAAGTCACTTAACCCCAACTGCCTCAAAAAAAAAAAACTACAGTTCCTTGAGATTATATTATATTATATCATACTATATAATATCTTCTATATATGAGAGATACATAGATATATAGCTGGATCTAGCATATGTATTCATAAATCTTTGGAATCTGTTTAATTTTCCTAAAGAAATGTTTTGAGGATGAAATATACTTTTATAAATGTATATACATATATATTTGTACTTATCTATATTTGTGTATTATATACAGTATCTTAGGAACTAGAAATTGTTTCACTTCTTAAAAGCATGTTCAAGGAATACATAATGAAGGGTCAAATCATTGAACACTTTAGCAGGAAAATCTAATGAGGAAAGAATAATATGTTTATCATAAGGGAAAATAATTTATTAAAGTCTTTGAGGGAAGATAAACATGGTAGATAGATAAGTAGATGGAGCATTTATTAAGTGCTTACATTAGGACAAGAAGGAGGCATGGCAATAATACATTAAGACTTCCAGATGGTGTTAAAATTGACAAGGTTCCACATTAAAGGATACTAGACAAATCAAAATGTGTGGCATTTAAAAAGTTCAAGAGACATAATTTCTGGATAATTTAATCATTTTATTAATAATGCCGGCATTTTTATCAAAGGTCAATTCTCAAATACCAAAGATAATCATGGTGGCAGGACTTACAGTTGATATGCCGTGGAAGAGGGGTGTTCCTGAGGGTGGCAATCAACTCTGATTGGTTATAACAATTAATGAGAGGTGGGCTCTACAAAGAGAAGTGAGCTCACTCCAATGAGGGGCCAAGAGTGACTATCTATATACTCAATAGAGCATAGAGTACCCTCAGCCTTGGGCAATCTAGACAAAGAATCTATATTCCCCAATCATGCCTGAGCTAGTTGAGTGAAGTAGCAGTACCCAGAATGGGGAGCATGTTAAGCCTATCCTCCATCAGCCCTGTCCTTGAGAAATTGGACAAGGAAATAAGATGGGGGGAAAAACTAGGATTGCCCCAATTTTAATAATTTATTGTTAATATGAGAGCAAAAAAATCATTTCTTTCAAGCAGAAATAGGAACGAGAGAATAGAAAAAGGAAACAAAGGTAGATATAACCAGGACTTCTGTGGAAAGTAAAGTACAGCCAGTGAGATTCCTGGCTATGTGACTTAACTAATCAGTCAAGTTCAAATGCCTTCTCTTCCATGAAGTCTTCCTCAGTATACCTTGTCAGCAGGTATCATCTTCCGGCATCATGTAACATTTTGTCTTGTGCCGGGGAAGGGAAGATGCTCTGATTCAAGACTGCTTCCAGACTTAACTTCTTGGGAGGAGGTGTGGGTAGATATAATTTAGTATATCCCCATGGTACTCCGTAGCTACTTGTCCGTAATAGGAGTTTAATAAATAGTTACTGAATAACTAAATAAGACTTGCCTTCCTATTAGTGCTTCAAAGTGATATTTTTTATTGTTATTAAGTAAAACTTCAGGGTCAACTAGGTGGCATAGTGGATAGAGCACCGGTCCTGAAGTCAGGAGGACCTGAGTTCAAATTCAGCCTCAGACCAAACACTTGACATTTACTAGTTATGTGACCCTGGGCAAATCACTTAACCCCAATTGTCTAAAAAAAAAAAAAAAAAAGTAAAATATCAATAAGTTCTTGTTAAAGTTCTAGTTTTTTCTTTAGATAGTTATCTAAGTATCGAAATGACCAAAGTGTTTGTTTTTTTTTTCAGAAGTATAATCAATCTTACAAAGTGCTGATTTTATCCAAGTTTTTAAAATACTTTCTCTTGGTAACAGGGTATAATGGAGATTGATGGTTCTGGCTTTGGCTCTGGTTCTGGCTCTGGTTCTGGCTCCGGTTCTGGTTCTGACTCCACCTCTGTTCACTTTGAAGGCAGTGGAGAGTTGCTAAGAGTAAGTATGAATCCATATTAGACACAAATATAGATTGACTAAACCAAGCCTTTATGCAATATTAGTAAATGAAACTTAAACTGATAAAAACATGACATGCGTTACTTGTTAGCATTTCTGTTTCTTGCCCCTCACAAACTTCTCCAATGAAGTAGGCTAATTCTTCATGATCTACTCTCTCTCCTACTCTCTTACAATCTGGCTTCTTCTCCTCCACTCTCTTGTAATAGATATCTCCATGTCAGGACCAAGTCTCATTTGCCTTGGCCTCTCTGTAGCATTTGTTAACCCTGTCCCATTATTGAAACTTTATTGGATCTATCATAGTAAAGTGGAAAGAACAGTGGATTTGTCCTCAGAGGGCAAGTCACCTATCGGCCCTGTTTGTCAGCTTCCTCATTTTGCAAATGAGGACTCAATGACCTCAAAGGTCTCTTGCAGCTCTAAATCTATGTTCTAACAAACTCTCTCTCTCCTTTTATCTACTGAGATGATATATTATTCTGGTTTTTCAGAGTGGCTAGGTTGTGCAGTAGAGTGCTAGTCCTGATATCAAGAAGACCCGAATTCAAATGTGACCTCAGGCTAGCTGTGTGACCCTGGTCAAATCACTTAACTAGAATCTGCCTCAGTTTCCTCATCTGTAAAATGGGGGTAAAAATAGCACTTACCTCCCAGGGTGAGAATAATGAGATATTACTCGTAAACCTGAAAGTAAATAGAAGCTATATTTACTGCTGTTATTATTAATATTGTTATTATGTATTATTAATATATCATGATAGAACATATATATTGCATATTATAATATATAATATTATTTATTAATATATTATTACTATTCTTTTACTCTTTATC